AACACCGACTGCCAAAACAGTCTATAAAAAAGTTGGAGACTCTTACAATATGCCACCACTTGTGTTACTGACATTAAACAACTAAATAACACAAACATTAATATTACAGAATTCCAAAATTAATTTTTATTTTTGAAAAACAGATTCAGAATAAAAGTATATGATTGTAAAGAAAACCTCTCTTTTTCATTTTAAAATCTTTTTGTTTGAAACAAGTCACTCGTTAGATTTTCTAAAAATAAAACACCTAGGAATGTATGTACTATTTATCTCTAAATATATTTCCTGCTTGTTTTATTCTCTATTATTCCTATACCATATAGCACTGACTTCCTTCGCGTTTAACTGAAATCAACATTACCTTAATCGTCTTCTTTTGGCACCAAGTTGGTCGTAGTCTCTCTGTTCTCTCTCCTCTTTGCTCATGTCTCCGTGGTTGGTGGTCAGATTAAATATTGGCCTTGACCAGTCATCTTTAACAATGAAAACATAATATTTTGATAACATCCATAAACAGAGATTATCCTGCACGAGGTTCAGAATATTGGGATTATCCTGAGGCCAAAGGATATCAAAACACCTGGTATAATAGATGCAGAATTTTTTAGACTTTGACAAACCTGTAATACTTATTACCGGACATATGAGTTAAAAAAAATTTAAGAATACATTCTGATGAAATGGATACTTACGAATCAGTTTTCCTGCAATTTCTCTGTTTTGCTTCAATTCTTTGGGATGTTTGAACAAATACATGATAGCTTTGCCTATACCACTATTCTTCAATGTATCGGAACTGACGGAGGGGAACTGAAAGAAATCAAATATGTTAATTATATTATTTATTGTTTGTTTATTGAGAATGGAGAATTTTTAGGTATGAATAAAAATCCCTGACTGACCACAGGCTATTAAAGTACAAAGATAATTTTTGATATTTCAAGTAACAAAATATCTGTCTGCTAATAGACATACAAATTGCAAAAATGAGTGAAGGAAAGTCAAGTCATCAATAAAGCTTGTTTAAGCACATATTTTATGAAAAAACGAATATTGATTTTAGGAATTAGTAAAGGAAAATATGAAAAACAGCCTAATTTAAAGCATTCCATGACTTACTGACTGCAGTATTTTAAGTAAATCTGATCTGATCTGTACATGTGGTAAACTTTTATCTGGTAAAGGGGCCAACCATTCCTACAAGAATCCATACATAACATTTATAAAAACATATGCAGGTCATAATTATGTATTACACGTACAAAGGATAACCAGGACAACAGCAACGCCAAAGCGTAGCGAATCCCATCGAACAGCCATGGATGGCATTTTTACAAACAAAGTTTATAGCAAAAATGGCAGGCATTTTTCAAAATGGCCGCCTTCTACCAAAAATGTCATTAGACCATTTGCCATACTTATAGTATTCACATACCAAATATGAACAAAATTGCTCCACTACTTTTCGAGTTATAGTAAAATACGTTAAAATGGTGGCCATTTTTCAAAATGGCCGCCTTCTACCAAAAGTGTCATTAGACAGTGTGCCATGCTTACAGTATTCACATACCAAATATGAACAAAATCGCTTCACTACTTTTCGAATTATTATAAAATACATTAAAATGGTGGCCATTTTTCAAAATTTTTTAAAAATTTTTTCAAAATGGCCAAATTCTACTAAAAGTGACATAGGGATAGTGTGTCATGCTTTTAGTATTCACATACCAAATATGAACAAAATTGCTCCACTACTTTTCGAGTTATAGTAAAATACGTTAAAATGGCGGCCATTTTGAAAAATGGCCGCCTTCTACCAAAAGTGTCATTAGACAGTGTGCCATCCTTATAGTATTCACATACTAAATATGAACAAAATCGCTTCACTACTTTTCGAGTTATGGTAAAATAGGTTAAAATGGCGGCCATTTTTTAAAATGGCGGCCATTTTTTAAAATGGCCACCTTCTAACAAAAGTGTCTTTAGACAGTGTGCAATGTTTATAGTATTCACATACCAAATATGAACAAAATCGCTCTACTACTTTTCGAGTTACAGCAAAATTCATAAAATAACGAGTAAAGGCCGCCATTTTTCAAGATGGCTGCCATGTGCTTCTTTAATATCTAAATTTCTAGCTTTATTAATGTCCTATATAATTTTTTTACATCTAAAACATATTACTATTACAGTTTTACATATTGCACCTAAATTACTGTAAATTCGGCACTAAAATAGCCGCCATTTTGAAATGAGTGGCCATTTTGAAAATCGGCTTTCGAGCAGAACTTCTAGCCCATAGGGTATATGTGTACAAAATATGAACAAAATCGGGCCAACGGTATTTGAGTTATTGCCCGGACGGACGGACGTACGTACGGACGGACGGACGTCTTTTGTTATTGCTGCATTAGTTTCTTCATTCATTGTCTTCTTTCTTTGTCTTGATTTGATTGTGATGTTGTTTATCTTTCTTCAGGGTCCACAGACTTGAGACTGCGCGTGTACGGACGGAGGCGTTCCCTATATCCCTCCGAACTTCGTTCGATGGGATAAATATCCATCTGAACTGCACATAACAAAGCAAAATAAGTATGTCATGAAAATAAATTACATTACAAAATCACTCTTGAAAATAGTACATGAAATATTGTTTAAATTTCCTAAAGCTTGATCAAAACAATTTACTTAACTCCTGAAAGTACATTTATAATTACTTATATCAAAATAGTAAACTAGATAACGGCAACTCCGCGGAGTAGAAAATCAATTACCGAATTCCAATCAATTATACTCATTACTTTGGTTAAAATTGAAAACTTTAGATTTTAGAACTGCGAATTCCTGCAAAGCAGCCATTTTGAATTTTCTGAGGTACGAATCTGAAAAATAATACCATAATTGTGATCTACTCCAAAATTCCTTCAATTTGAGTATGATATAGCCATACTTTGAAAGGATCGAAAAATTATTGCGAAATCGTACATTAGACGGCCATTTTAAATTTTACGAGGCTCGAATCAGAAAAAAGATACAATATTTGCAATCTACTTTTAATTGCCTTTCATTTGAGTATAATAAAGCTATACTTCAGAAAGATCTAAAAATTAGCAAAAATTTCTGTTTTCCTGACCCCCATACACGGCCCCTGGGGGTCAGGATAAATAACAAGGAATATATGTGAAATACATGGATGTTGCAAATATACTACCAAAATTTCAAACAATAATATTAATAACTTTGGTTTAGAATGAAAAATTTATGATTTTTGCGAAAAAGTCCCATCATTTTTAAAGCGGCGGCCATTTTTTTTTGCGTAAAACTATTCATCAATATACATCTTTCCACCAAATATGAAGAAAATCCGTCAACTAATATTTGAGCTATCTTCGGGACGGACGGACGGACGAACTGACGGACGGACGGAGGGCTTCACTATATCCCAACCAAACTTCGTTCGTTGGGATAATTATATTCATTCTTAACAAGAATGCATAACAAGAAAGCATATAAATGTGTAACATATGTGCATCAACATGGATCCATGTTGTTTCAAAGTTGATTCCTTATGGATCGAACTGGGGTGTACCAGTATGTGGTGGGGAGATATAAGATAATAAAAGTAAATAAAAAACATTCACCGTGATTGCACTCAAAATACCACAGTCAAGGAACGCCACCTGGAGGTCACTCCTGAAACACACAAGTTTCAATATTTTTATTGTTTTAAAAACAAACAGCAATTTGCCCTTTGTGGCTTTGCAAGCAATATAATAAATATTTTTTATGAACATGCACATAGGCCTATAACAATTGGCAGAACTTGATTCCAAAAGTACAAACACTTACTTGAGATGAGACATGTGAAGTCCATGAAAATTTCAAATACTAGCAAAAATGATATGTTATATGTCTACTTTACACATAAGTCATAGCAAATTGTACAAGTACATACTTTCTGAGTTGCTGCATACACTGTGGAAGCATTCGTAACTTGCGAGTGGCTGGCTGTCTTCGCTGGTTCAGCTCACGATCCTCCTACAGGCATGAAAAAAAAGAAAAGTAGTAAAAGAAAGAAATGGGAAGAATTAATAAAATGTCGACCTAAATGTCAACAAAATGGATAGAAATGTTGGAACCATTTTAAGGTAACACATATTTTTGCTCAAATTTTTTTTATTCTCTCAATAACAGATTCTACCTTTAAAATGAAGAATCTTGAAGTCACATCAGTCTCAAATTATTTTACTGGATTTGAACATTTTGATATGTTTTGGATGAGTATACTGATGTCAGCAGACATCAGGAAAAAAACAATATTGCAATTTTGCTGTATGGCTGATTAATAAAAGTTAAGGATATCGTTAACCATTTAGCACTTAATAGTAGTAATTACCAAGGTTTTGTGTGGAGGATTTTGCTATTTTTTCAGTGCAACATTTTAGCATTTTGTAACTTTTTTGTGCAAGATTTTATGACTTTGTAGTTTTTTGAGCAACATTTTACAATTTGGTAATTTTTTGTGAAACATCTTAGAATTTTTTATTGTAACATTTAGGAGGCGCATCTAATTGCACTGAGGAGCATTTTGGTTTTATAAAATACATGGAGGTGCTGCGCCTCAGAGATTTAAATATTGAGAGAGCACAGATACCACTATATACTTACTGCAGCAGCATCCTTCATCCTGGTCAACATTGCTGTGATGAGGTCATCACTGTCATTAATGAGATCAACATCTTTACGTTTACGTCTCCTTTTAGACTGCTCTTCCTTCTTTTTGGCCATCATAATGTCAAAGTCAGACACAAACTCACTAAAATCAAAGAATACAAGGAAAACTAATTATCTAGTCGCCTTGTTTTGGTTATCATGTCAAAGTCAAACATAAACTCACTTAAATCATATAGTATATAAAGTATAAATATGAACAAGGGGGTTTTCCTGGAATTATAATGACAAGATTGATGTGATGCCTGCCTAGATGCATGCCAATCAACACACGGTTTGCCGATACAGTTTTTTCAAAGTAAGATAATAAGCTGGTAATAAGCTGGTCATATGTACATGTATAGGTTGGAGTCTCGGTTTTATATGCAAGCTTAAACTTCCTGTTAGTGCTGCATACCCCCAAGACTGCACAGATTTGAGCTTGATTATAGGCATCCCTATCCAAGCGTGACAAAATTTTACTGGTTTTTTCACTACTCTATATAACAATACACTTACTTGCCACCTTTGCCATCTTCCAGTTCATCGTCACTGCTTGACACGGGATGTTGATGCTGTTCCTTCTGTTGAGCTACCTCCGCTCCATCTTCCCTGTCTTGACCACCTTCATCATGAACTTCGACATCATCTTCGTCATCTGAGATCAATGCTGCAAAAATAAAAAATATTACAATAAGATCCTGAGATTTAGCAAGTTTAACTATGTCCAGGAAAAGATCCAAATTTAACATGCTTACCTGAACAAGAGCTAAAATATAAGAAAGATCACTTAAAATGATATTAAAATGATTGTATAATTGTATATATGCAAAATGACTGTACATGAATAATGGAATGCCTTCTGTCAATGATGGATCTGGATTCAAAATATATACATTGAACAATTACAATAATTACCTGATTGTTGCTTTTCTTTCACCACTTTCTCCACATCATCTTCACCAAAACCTTCAAACTCCTCCTCATCTGATGATCCAAAGATATCAGCAATCAACTCACCAACGACAGACCTAAACATTGATTGAATAAATGCTACATTATTATGTACATAGTAAAACCTGTATAAAATGAACACCTATGGATCGAAAAAAATGTTCACTGAAGGTAGGTGTTCATTTCAGAGAGGGAATTTTATGTAATCAATGGAGTCAATGTAGTCTTGAAGAGGTGTTCACTAAACACGTGTTCACTAGAGAGAAGTGTTCACTAAGACAAGTTTTACTGCTACATTATTTTGTATATGAAGAGAAGTTTAGGACTTGAATGTTATAGAAACGCTACAATGTTTGTATGATAAAACCTGTCTAATGTGATGCCTCTGGGACCAGCAAAAAGTGTTTGGATTAGCAGGTGTTCACATTTCAAAGTTTTTTTAACATGTATACTGGAAGATAACAAAGTGACCGAGAAAAAGTGTTCGAATTAGAAAAGTGTGCTTATTCACTGTATTAGTAGTAGGAATGGGACATTGATCATGTAAAAATAAATGTATAAATACTCACCCTTTATCACTTTCATCTCCACTCTCAGCAGCTCTGTCTGCTTGCCTGCAAAGTAATAGTGTCATTAATGCAATTTCTTTTATAGTCTATTATGAGGAAAATAGTTCAAAGAAGTATTCTAAATAAGGAGTATTCCTAGTACAGCTCCAAAGATAATAGAATGAAGAATTTAATGATTCATTTGATATTTTGAAGTGCAAAACTTGTAGTTTCAGTCTTATTCATTTTCTTAAAATAAGCTGCTTACTTGGTTTTCAGACCAAAAATCCTGGTGATGATAGCTAACAAAAGTATTACACAAATCAGAAATAAAAGGTTCCTCAATTTTCAATTGGTGCAATTCAAGCTTCAATACCTCTACTGGGTTGAACACATTGGTCCTTAGAGATCACTTTATGGTACAGTATCTAAATGCTGAATTGCGGAAAAACAAATTAAATTGCATTAAGCCAACTGGCTTCTCCATATTACAAAATGTTGTCTTTCACTAAAAAGTCATCATTCTAGCTGCAAATGAAATCACCATTCACTCTTCTAACGAAACCTTTTTATTCAAGTTTAATTGATGTTAAGATGTCAAGAACAACCCTTAATACTTACTGATCAGGAGGGTGTTCTGACTCATCTGCCAAAACTTGCTGTGTGACTGCTTCCTGAACAGGGGAACTGGGACTTCCCATGGGAGATCTTGGTCCAGGACTTCCTGATCTGGACCTCTGTGAATGTGGAGAGCCATCCCTTTGTGATCTAGGTGATCCAGATCTTGATCTTTGTGATCTAGGTGATCCAGACCTTGATCTGGGTGAGCCAGACCTTGATCTTTGTGATCCAGCAGATCCCGACCTTTGAGATCTAGGTGATCCAGACCTTGATCTGGGTGAGCCAGACCTTGATCTTTGTGAATTAACTGATCCTGACCTTTGTGATCTAGGTGATCCTGACCTTGACCTTTGTGATCCAGCTGATCCTGATCTTTGAGATCTCGGTGATCCAGATCTTGATCTTTGTGATCCAGCTGATCCTGATCTCTGTGATCCAGCTGATCCTGACCTTTGTGACCTGGGGGATCCAGATCTTGATCGATATGATCCAGCAGACCCTGATCTTTGTGATCTTGGTGATCCAGAGCCTGATCTTGGTGAACCAGAGCCCGATCTTCGTGATCTTGGTGATCCTGACCTTTGTGATCTAGGTGATCCTGAATGTGATCTTGGTGATCCAGACCTTGATCTATCTGATCCTGATCTTTGTGAACCACGAGACCCTGATCTTGACCTCTGTGATCCAGCTGATCCTGACCTTGATCTTTGTGATCCAGGTGATCCTGATCTTGATCTACTCCGATGAGATGAAGGTGAAGCAACTTGCTCAGTGTCATTTTGGGGATCAACTCTTTCTTGTTCCTCTTCCTCATTTATATTTTCTCCAATATTATTTTCATCATCATCTTCCATGTTAGATTGTTCTTCAGTATTTTTCTCAACATTTTCTGTTTGATATTCATTGTCACTGTTATGCAAATCATTTGGAGATTGGGGACCTTCTTGGTCACTTTGTGGGGATTGAGGACCTTCCTGGTCACTTTGTGGGGATTGGGGACCTTCTTGGTCACTTTGTGGGGATTGAGGACCTTCCTGGTCACTTTGTGGGGATTGGGGACCTTCTTGGTCACTTTGTGGGGATTGAGGACCTCCTTGGTCACTTAGTGGGGATTGGGGATCTTCTTGGTCACTTCGGGGGGATTGAGGACCTTCTTGATAACTTTGTGGGGATTGAGGACCTTCTCCCTCATTTTCACTTTGTCCCTCTTGTTCTTCATTCTCACTTTGTTGTCCTTCACCACTTTCATTAGCTCTTTCACCATCACTTTGATAATCATCATTATTCTTTTCATCATTATCACTGTCATAGACTTGTCCTTCCTCACTTCCAGCATTTGAATGCTCAGACATAGCTGCATTTGAATGTTCAGATGCAGCATTTGAATGTTCAGATCTTGCATCACTCTGCATTTGTTCATCCTCACTCAGTTCACCTTCTTCCATTCTGTCATTATCCACTGCCATCTCACCATCGGATGTTTCATCTGCAAATACAGGATTAATGATTCATCAACTTGGTGCCTGCGACATATACAGGGTGTTCAGGAAATAAAGATAATAATGTCATACCTTTTTCATTTGTTTATGGATTGCATTGACAGTTTCAGAGATTATAGTTTATTCCATTTGCCCCGCCTTAGCGCTACTCACGTTGCTATGCCAACCACAGAAATGACAAATCAAATCGCTTTAAACTAAAACTCCAAAAATAAGTTTAAATATGTTTCAACAATAATCCCTGCAAATTTTTTTGAAATCCATGAATAAATAAAAAAGTTATGACATCATTATCTTTATTTCCTGAACACCCTGTGCAGTATACATGTTACATTTAGCAAAACAATGCCAAGTGGGCACATTTGGTGATTATTTGAATAGGGCTTAGTTCTATATCTTTTTTTGAGAATAAAACCATTCTTTTGTATTGACGAGCACTGAAATACTTTTTTTTTCTAAATACTAGAATTTTTAATGTTTTCAGTTTCAGTTGATCCATTCCCAAAGAGTGAAGAAAGAATTTGCTTTGGTCAAGGGACGAATCTTGGGCACAACCAACAATGGAACACCATGGAACACAATCAAACACTTTAAACATATCTGAACTGATCTCTCCAGCTGAGCACAACCTACAAACTTGCTAATCACCATAGCCAATCACTTAACAAACACAACATACTGTCTGGTTGAAACAGCACAATCAGGCACAACCAACTACAGCCTAACATCACACAATGTGGCACAACCAGATACACAAACACAATCAAACAAAAAATACAATCATCAGACCAATGAAACCAAACTATGCTTTATAACTTACAGTAACACAACCTCCTTCAAATGAGGCACAACCTAAAACACCATTGATTACAAAACACAATTGGGCCCAACCCAAATCAGTCACAAATCTGCTACCTTACATTTGCGGGTACAAGGCAATACTCACACAAAACAAATGTAATTAACCATCACCAAAATATTCCTCATAGATTGATATTATTGCTATCCTATATTGATTTTCTCAAGTTAAAGTCAAGTGTGCAAAGCGAATGTGAAATTCCCACATGTGAATATTCGCTTTGCAATATTGAATTATTACAGGGAAATAATGAAAGCTTACCAGTCAATTCTCTGTCATATTTATCATGTCAAACCTCTTTACTAACAATCCGGCACATACAATTAGGGATCTATTATGTTTATCTGGGAGAAAAACCAGGAGCCAAATCATGTCTATTTGTGGGGTCAAGTTTCTGACCAACTTTTTTTTCGCGCCAAAACGCGCCACCTATACATTGGTCATTGCTACTGGGTGGGAGCCAATCCTCCTTGAGTCTAACTGGAGGAATTTTGTGATTACAAACAAAAATTTCCTCGTTCTGCAGATTAACCCTTACGATTTGGGATTCAACATTAAACTAAATAACTGAGTATTAGAATTCTTTTTATGTAGTTGAATCTACAATCGTACAGCTAAATCACAGATATTGGCCAGATCGTTTTGTAGTAGGATCTCATAGGCTCAAAGAATAATTCACAAGATACGACACTAAATTGGAAAATTTAAAAAAAATATGACCACCTTTTAAAAATGTCCTTATACAAAATGGTACCTGCTTCCCCATGACAGATTTTGCACTTATTTTATAGCTGAGAGCTTCATCTTTCTATTTCTACTTGTTTGGTTCAAGTAAATGAGCTATGGATGCAGTTTACCTTCTTCTAAGGCCACTGTATCGTGGCCTTCCAGTACAGATATATTCCTGCATGAACAACTGGTAATGTCGTAATCATAAAATTTGAAATCATATGTCCGCCATTTTTCCACATCACAATTTGAATTGCGAGTTTTGGTCTTATTACCTCACCAAAAATTCCAAAACACACACAAAGTGATCAGTGTATTAGTTCACATCTTCTGGATCGCTAACTTAGAATTTACAGCCAGTTACTAATGTCAGACGTAACGACATTTCGTCCAGTTTTCGAACATCGCCATTTTTCTTGGAGCCATTTTGTTTTAATTTTAGACGAAATCCTGATGAAATCATGTCATATCTCATCAAGGATTTGAGCTGGGTCCGGTTTGATTAATGATTTATTTATCTGGCGATTTTTAAAATATTCAATAAATTTATGACACCCCGGCAGCTTTTTTCAAATAGAGTTCACAGTATTCCAGATGAATCCCCTCTAGCCAAGTATTGGCTAGAGACTCGAGTAAGATGCAGTTATTTGACTTTTAATACGGCGAATATTTTTCACGAGATCCGGACTCTTGTGTGTCCAAATATCATTGTAATGATGACGTCACATTTCTGGAATTGCTTGAATAACGGCCATTGATGATAAAAATTTGAAGAATAACAAGATGCTTCGAGTGAGGTATGATTTGTCTCATATTTTTCATGGCTTCATAATCGTCATTTTAAAATTTGAAATTTTCTGAGGTGACTCATCTTGAGGAATATTTATTGAGCTACCGATCCTACTACAAAAGAATCTGGCCGGAATCTATGAGCTAAATCAATGTTATTTGGCATGTCAAGTTTTGTCATGTGTTTATCGTTTGAAAAAAGAACAAGGAGGATTGGCTCCCAGGATCGAAACTCGATATTTTCCAACAATGAAAACGTCGAAATGTCGTTATTTTCTGAAATTAAAACCGACTATAAATTCAAAATAAACAGTTCAAAAGATTCGAACCAATATCTCGATCATTTCTTGTGAGTTTTGGAATTTTTCGTTTGGAAATAAGACCAAAATTCACGATTTAAATGTTGAAGTGAACAAAATGGCGGCTGTTTGAATTCGAATTTTGTATTACGACATACCCATATATGGGACAGAATATCGGTGGTGCACTCTGGGAGCCAATCCTCCTTGAAAAAAGAAGAAAAAAATATCCACTTATCATTTCCAGCTATTGAAGATGAATGTGTTGTTGAAAATAGCTCAAACATAAATACACAATATACATACTATTATCTTGCTCTATTGTTACTTACCATTAACGTTATCCATTGCACTTGGAACAGATAAAAATGCAACTTTCAATCTTTTGTTTTTTCAAAATCACCGTGCCGGAAACGGAAATATCTTGTCTTCATACTGTACCAATTTGGTACAAGATTGAATACTTAAATCTGTCCATCGAGATGATTTGTATAAATATTATGAAATGAAGAAAAGAATTATGTATTTAAAAAGTCAAATATTAGGATTTTATTGACTAAAGACCTGAAAGAATAAGTTTTATAAACACCTAATTTTCAAGCACTACCAGTTTGGATATTTTTGAGTCGAAATATTTAAGCGCCATCTTACGAGTAAAATAACGTCGTTTTGTTTTTGTTTCAACTTCGCAATTTTCTTATTATATAGTGATCATGGCGGACACTCTCCCTCCTGTTGATGTAGAAACACTTGTACAGAAAGGATCCGCTGCTCTTAGTTCATACAGAGATCAACATTTCAAGGTATTTATCGTGAACTTGGAGAATTATTACAGTTCACGTTTTGTTTTTCATGATTTGATATCTACTCTACACTCTGTTAAGCATGATAAAAGGCAAGAAGTTTAGTTAGAAATAAAAGAGTTATCTCATGAATTGGACCCTTACATGGCTCCTAAAAGGTAGAAGACACTAAATGGTGTGACACTATAAGCTGAATTTTGTCCACATAGAGCATGTGCACAATACTAAAGACATGTAAAATTGAACTGTCAAAAGAACTGAAATATACTTACCAGCTCGCCTCTTCCGGAAGTTATGATACGTTATGGTGTAACTACGGTAATTAATTTTAAAATATTGAAAAAATCACAAAATACAAGTTCTGGGGTATATATCGCCATTTTTAAGCGAATTAGCCCATACTATGACTATATATTCGCACCCCCATATACAGATATATATAAACTTCATCTTCACAATAAATTGAGCTTCTTTCAAATTTCCATTTTTTGAGATAAGTGCCATTTTCTTACAATTCAAGCCGTAAAAATAGTTGGAAAGTGCTTCCCAGTTGAGGTTAATGGCTTTTATACTTACATTATGGATGGAGCACTTAAAATGTACTTAGAATCGTATAAATAGCTATATTCTGTGAGATTTATTTTTGTTTTTATTTTTACATTTTTCTCACCTCATAATTGAAGAGCTCCGCTGTTGATTTACATTCAGTTACACGTATTTCCTTGAAAATTCGCCATGATTGGAACAAATGACGGTTGGTTTATGTTATATTCATTTAGTTTGTATTTGAATCTAGCTACTTAAACACAAAACATGTTTTCATGTTATGTTAAAGAGCAAAGATCGCGAATTCTAGGTGAAGCCAATTATTTTGCACAAGTCATATCCTGATTGCATCATAGTTACTTTGTACTAGTCACATCCTGATTGCATCAGCCAATTCACGTGATTTACATTTACACATGGTTTCAATATACATGTTATACTACTTCCGGGTAGAGTAGTGTTTTTTATACTTTAAAAACGAAGCCATTTCGATCAGTTTTTATAATCCTTGGTAGAACTGAGAGGTATTACAATACATATTTAAATTAATACACATGAGTGTATTTGATGAACTCTCAAAAAATAAAACCCACAATAATATATTTTTTATTCACGATTTCATGTCATTGTTTCTAACAAGTCGCCTCTTTCTCTCTTTTCTTTATTTTTGTCAACAGTCAAAATCGGATTTTAAAACTTGGTTTCTTTACAAGCTCTGCTTCCGAAATACTAAATAACATGAAAAATGTTAAACCTTATATCCTACACTTATTTGATATGAAATAGGCGATCATTGATATCATTTTTGTGCTGTTAAGTGTGGATCTTTTAATTTTTTAGTCAAACTTGATCGCTGATCTCTGTCGATGTGACGTCACACATTAAGTATGCACGCATGGGCAGTACAATACATAAGGCAATATGGCGTCTTAGGCCTATACATGAGCCAGAATGGAGGTCTGCAAGTTGAAATGAATATGTTTGTTTATGCATCAATCGATCACACATATAATCCAGCCAATCTTTCAAATCATATACTTAACATTGTTACGGATTTATTTATTTTGTGAGCTAACGTTCCCTTTAATTTTCATTGGTGAAGCAATGATTTTACCTAAAATGAGTCCCTGTCTTTACATAGTGATATTTAAAAATCGAGAAGCAAAACCTATGTTGAATATACTGTGTATTGATGAAGTTTATATATAGCCTAGGGGAACTCAAAAATATTGTTATTATATCGGCAAATTCGCTCGAAAATGGTTGTACACCCTAGAAATTGAATGTTGTTGATTTTTTCAATATTTTAAAATTAATTACCGTAGTTACACCATAACCTATCATAACTTCCGGTAGAGGCGAGCTGGTGAGTAATTTCTATTATTTTGACAGTTCAATTTTACATGTCTTTAGTATTGTGCACATGCTCTATGTGGACAAAATTCAGCTTATAGTGTCACACCATTTAGTGTCTTCTACCTTTTAGGAGCCATGTAAGGGTCCCATTCATGAGATAACTCTTTTATTTCTAACTAAACTTCTTGCCTTTTATCATGCTTAACAGAGTTTAGACCATAGCCGTAGCCAGCGGGGGTTCGGTGGGTTCGAACGAACCCCCGGTCAGGATTTCCCAAAATATAATTTTGCGGAAAAATGCATATAACCAGAATCATTAAATTACTGTGCTCTTTGAAAACTACATATATGAGCAGTAAATGAATTGATATTTGTTATGGTGAACACGAGAGCATTATTTTCTTAAAAACATGTCATAGTGAAGTTACACATCCCTCAGAACGTTTGGCATGCTTCATCTCGGACAAAATAACCCATCTTGGGCAATGGCTAAATCAGTCCTTTATAGGAATTTTGTTTTAAGCCAGTTCTGGTCCAATACGAAGTTATTGAAAGTTATTGAAAACAATGCAGACGTCCCATACTCCGAATGATTTTTACAACATTGGCGAATAAATATCTGGAATAGTCGTAATATTGATGAAACACATGTTCTTTCAAATGTGTCAAATGGGGCTGGCAAGTCCCCGAAACCAATTAATAATTAAAAACGTTGTGAAATGAATTATTTAATTTTCGTATATCATTTATAAACACAAGCATTTGTTCAAATTCATTCATTCTTTCATTTGTTCAGTATTTATTTACCCATCACTTTCCAAATTTTTTTCAGATACACTCCACTCATCTAAGAGATTGTATATAATTCAAATTGTTATCGTTCCAGTTTACTTGCTCTCCATTTTCATGTTAATGTCATGATATGTTTAGCGAATAAATAATATAATAAAAAAAACATTGAAAAATTATATGGTATTAATCTTCAAATAATGAAGGCCTAATTTGTTTTCAAGCCGTCTGAACTTAACAAAATAACAGTCGCTTGTATTTATATATAATTTTATCCACTAAAACGTTTTTATTATCAATTGCGGTTGATCTGCTCGGGGGGACTTACCACTGAGCTCCGATGACGTCCAAAGAAATATTTTTAACTTTTTAAAACAAAGCATTTACCGAGACCCACTTATTTGAATAATAGATATTTTCATCAGTAATACGACTATCCCGGAAAGTTTATAAAGCCTTCGTGTAAACGTTGTGAAAAGTTATCAAAAAAAGAACGATCTTTCGGAGTATAGAGTGTTTGCGTCAATTTCAATAACCAAGTGCATTTGATCCGAACTGGCTTCCAACAAATTTCCTGAATAATAATGATAAGCCATTGCATGAGGTAATTTATTTTGTCCTAGATGAAGTAGCTTAAGTTAAAGAATAAATTGTGCGAAATAGTTGATATTCCTTGGAAACAAATCATGCTCCAGGGTCTTCCAGAAATCAGTCGAAATAATGCTGGATTCGGGGCAAATCAGATTTCAGGATATGTATTCAGTAAAAGATTCACCAAAGTATATTTTGATGCAGAAAATTAATTATAAGTTGTCTGACTTTTTTGCACGTTGCCTGTTTATTTTACTTTGTGAACATTAAAGTTGCAAAGCTACAAGGTCATTTTTGAAAATCATTTTTACGTCCAGACTTTTCTCATGTCATTCCTTGTCATGTCTATTTTCTAAAAATCACAACAGTGCATACTTTATTCCAGGAAAACTAAAGATTTTTACAAAAAATGTATTATTTTTCTATAAGAATGGTTACCATTCTTATTATTTGGGAGAATTTAAACATTTTTTACTCATTTTTGCACTTTGAATCATTCATAACTTCACCAATTTATAACATGTTGTGAATCTTTTGGGAGATATTGTATTTGATATTGTAAGGAATAGATTGGTAGGTCAATTATACATGTTGCTTGTAATTTTATCACCCCCTATAGATCAGATTCTGCTTTTAATGAAGGTATTGAAATGAATTCTATTTCCCCTCCCAAAATAGTTTTTTCTTTACAAATTATGCAAATAAGAATTCAAACTTAAAGATGCTTTAATACATAATCCAATGGGGTAGTTAGGATTGCCAAACTTTTGGAGGGAGTGTAATTGTACAAATTGCATTATTTGAGAAACCCTAATCAGGGCTTGCATTAACGGCGTCCCTTACATGTAAGTGACGCAAAAAAAAATTGTAGGACGGAAAAATAAAAAATATTTCCGTTTTTGGGACGGAAAAAAAATTGAGTCAAAACTTTGAACATTTTTTGAAAATCTTGAAAATCTCAATAGTTGATCATGTTTGACTTCTTTGAGGTGTATATTAAGATCAAAATATGTGAGATTTACAACTTTATTTTGAGTAAAAAAGAAAAAGAATGCAGAAAAACGAACTATTGTAATGGGCGATAATAGGTTATCAGTTTGCATTTGACATATTTTTCTCACTGAAAAGCTGATATAAAACCTTCAAAATGAGTTCAATTGTACAAATGATGCATACTTACCTAGGTGAAGTAGTCTATTTGTGATTATATAACGTCAAAATGGTCTAATTTATGATATAAATCAGAGGATTCTGATCATGTAGAAAATGTAGTGCTACACTAAATTACTGAGCGTCAGACAAATTCATACTAAAAAATGTTCTTATTTTTTCAAGCAGTTGTTTAGTGCAAACAGCAAGTATAAAGATAATCACAGTATAATAGTACTTACTATAACAGGCTGGAGGTTACATAACATAAGTGAATTGAAAATAAAGAACATGTTTAAATCACAGGGCACGAATGGCAACATTTTGAAAACACATAAGACATGTAAGATCAAGTCATGCACATTCCAAAATAGCCCATTATAGCTAATTTAGCTTATATATTGGAGGACACACTTTTTTCTGTCGGGACTCACTTTTTAAATTTTTTTCCTTCATTGGGACTCACATTTTTCAGAGCCTAATGCAAGCGCTGCTAATGAAGGGGGGGGGGGGGATTTGTGAATAACATAAAAATAGAACCCCCGGTCACCAAATCCTGGCTACGCCACTGTAGACTACTCATTTTCTTTCATGCGAGGATAAACCTCTAGATCTACTTTCTTAGAATCATCTTTGAATTTTGCATTCACATATTTGTGCCTCTTTTCCCTGTTTTTTAGGATTGTCCTTTGTGTTTTGTTAAACATAGCCTTCTGGCGGTTCCAGGGGGGGGGGGTAGTATGTATCCAACAGACCGAATATAATATTCGGTCTGTTATGATTGATATATTTCCCGTGGAAATCGCGGTGATATTTTTTGCACATTAATTTCTCGTTTATTATAAGAATGTTCACCTTGAAAATTGGTGAATATGTTGAAGAGATGTTCATCTTAAACTAGAAGCAAAAATATTTGTATAAGGCGGGTACAAGTTGATATAAAATAATGAAATGTTCAGACTCACCGAAACTTCAGGATGTGTTCATAAGTAGATCGCGAAATCAATGTCAAGGACGTTTGAGTTCACGAGATCCAAACGAGATATGCAAATTTTGAACTTTGACAACACATGACCACTTGATTACCTCGGCCTTCTTCATGAATATTTCCGCTCTATTTACTATAAATGAAGAAAATTAATCGGGATAATGATAATAAATTACTAGATCTAATAAATTCCCGCACAAATGGAATTTAGCAATTCCGTAATGTTGCTCCCGCTCCACGTGTTATTTGTTTACAAATAGACTGACGTCACTGGCTAAATCTCGTTTATCGTGAGAATTGGCATTGCCAAAATGGCTTGACCTAATCAATGGCTTCGCTACAAGAAGCGTCTGTACATTTTATGAATATCTTCAGTAAGAGGACAATATACGAAAAAATAATATTGTGAGTTCTTTATAAGGTAATCATTCTATCATTAAACAAACTTATTTGTAACATTTATACAACACCACATTTTACAATAGGTGACTTACAGTCTGAATATTTATTCAGACGAAGGATACAGTCTAGGGGGGGGGGGGCGGTAAAAAATGTTGGTCCAAAAATATTGTAGGGCCTCTTTAGTGGGCCTTTTTGGGCATTACTTGACCTTTTTGGGCATTACTTTTTTCAATTTCAGGCCACATCTTCAAAACACGGGCTATAAATTTTCAAAATTTTGACCCAAATTTCCAGGTTTCCAGGAGGGGGGGGGCAATTTTTTCAATTTCAGGCCAAATCTTCAAAAAACGGGCTATAAATTTTCAAAATTTTGACCCAAATTTTGGTTTTAGGGCCTTAAAAAATTTTGTGCGAGGCCCTAGGATGGGCCCAGAAAAAAATGTTGGCTCAAAAATATTGTAGGGCCTCTTTAGTTGGCCTTTACTTGACCTTTTTACTTGACCTTTTTGGGCCTTATTTTTTTCAATTTTAGGCTTAATTTTAAAAAAATATTGAAGGGTTTCTTTAGTGGGCTTTTTTGGGCATTCAATACTTGACCTTTTTGAGCCTTTTTTCAATGTTAGGCCAAATTTTCAAAAAACGTGATATAGATTTTCTAAATTTTGGCCCAAATTTTTGTTTCAGGGCCCCAAAAAGTTTTTCAGCGCAAGCGCGGATATTTTTTTTCCTGACTTGAAGTGTGGGCCCCCCCCTTGTTAGTTTCCGGATCCGCCACTGTCCTTAACATTACAAAGTCGGTTGGTTAAGCATGGGGATTTTTTTGGGGGGGCGGTTTGCGGGGGGGGGGGGTTTGAGCCCCCCCTTACAAAAAGCTAGCTACGGGCATGTCGTTTCCGATGAAAAGTGTATTGAAAGTTAGAAATAATGTCACAATTTGTTTATTTGCGCTTTTTGTTTTTTCATCACTAAAACAGCATTCCCTTGAAATCCCTTACTGTCAGTTTATTTTTATTTATCATGTGAACATATTTCATTGTTCGCTCTTAGAATCCAAACACAAATTCTCTATATAAGTTCATATTTGTTGTGTTTGGCTGAGTTCCACAATGTAACCTTGCAGGAGGGATGTCATAGAACAAACTGCTAAGTAGACACACTGTATCATTTCATTATTTTGTTATTTTCACCATATGAACTTATACCGAGAATTTGTGTATGGATTCTATACGTGTAACAATGGCGCAGTGTCCTCATGCATGCATGAAACGGCATGGCATACTCTCAAAATTTAGAGAAAAGTTGATTTTTTATATTTAATTGCCACACTTTAAAAAACTGGATATTTTGAATACTTGTAGCAGTAACAATCATATATGAAAAGCATGTGAGGATGAACATACATGAACGTGATATGTATTTTTGGAAATTATAAACAATAAAATGGCAAATGGAAATGAATTTTATTTCCAAGAAGCACCTTTTTTGTCTTGCCATCATTTAAAAACAGCTTCGTTGTAATTAAATATTTTTCTCAAAATGGCCATTAATTTCCATTTTATTTGTCCATATAAGTTGGAATTTTGTTAAAAAACACCCCTGAACGCTTCAATGCAATCTCATTTTCAAATTCTCTTGATGGGAGAACAAACCCCCTCAAAGCTTGTTGGCTTCGCTCACTAGTGGCATAGACTCTCAAAATACCAATTACCCACGCCATGTGACTATAAGTTGTTGTCATGGAAGTTTCAAATAACAATAGCATTCAACATGAGAAATTTTTTTTGATGAATCAGGTTTTTGAATTTTTACAACAAATGCTGTGTCAGTTCTGACAAATCTTTGCAATTACAACCAAATATAAGAAATCTAAGTAATAAAATAAGTTCAGAGATTTGAGAAGTTTCCTACCTGAATCCACTTCTTGGCCAAATGATTCCCTGAGTTTCTTACAACAAGCAAACATCAAATGAAAACATCTTGTCATTATTGAATATTATGATTTCTATCACAGAAATAATTGCTTTTAGTTCCTCAAGACAGGGTAATTCTGTACAATTCTTGTCTTTACCTGCGCCATCGAAATTGGTACGTTCACTAATCATAAGGTGAAACAACCAGATAAAATTGCCGCCTGTTGCCTGCTGCTTAAAACCTCTTACTTTTAATAAATCGCCTTTGGGCCATATCATAGGCAAACCTTACAATGAATGAAAAACTGGTGTATTGGTAGAAATTAACTTGTTTTGTGGTATTCCAGGGCAGCAGGACACATCAGGAGAAACTCCTACTGACAAGTTCAACTCTCTATATCGGCAATCTCTCATTCTATACCACAGAGGAACAAATTTATGAACTATTTTCCCGTGCTGGGGACATCAAACGAGTAGTGATGGGATTAGATAAAGTGAAAAAAACTCCATGTGGATTCTGTTTTGTTGAGTATCCTTTTAAAGGATGAGTCTGGGAATGAGTCTGGGTATCGACTTAGAAAATATTGAAAATTGTAATGTCTGAAAAACCAACTCAATCACACATATTATTAAACTTCAATATCTTATCCATCTTCTGAGAGTACAAAAACATCAAATTGTATCTCAATTAATGAAGAATTTTGGCATCAAAGACAGTGCATATCACTTTGTCAGAACTGAAAAAAAATCAATGGCAAATATTAAATGAATTATTTATACAAAAGGCTCGAAACATATCCTCCAAAACATTGCTTACTTTCTTTGTATAGACATTGAATGGCATTTCTGGATAAGTGAATTGGTGTTTATCTGGGTAATCAAGGGATTATAGTCACTCAAAGTTACTGAGCTTCCAGTTTTGAGACTTCAATTGTGTTGGTGAAGTTACACATATTTCAGTCAAATTCATGCTGAGCACAACATTTTGGTTTCAATTTTATAATCTCTATACATGACCCTGGTGATGAAGAGTCAGAATCAGTCAAAAAATCTAAACCGGAAAACTGTGCTCATTGTGAAAACTAAAAGTGAAGCAACTTTTTTTCTGATATTTCTTACATCAAATGGCAGCCATCTTGTTTTTCCCCCTTCAAATTAAACTGGCGGGAAATTCAAAAATTTGAAAAAAAATTTAATCCTTAAATATATTTCAAAAATATGATTTTCTTTTAAATTCTTCATGGGTCTTAAGTTATTTATTCTTTGTAAGTCATACATGTTGCTATTGGTGTTTTTTTCTATGATAATGACTTTTTTTGTTTGTTAAGATACTTATTCTGACTCTCAGCAGGGGGTTAATTATGCATCAAAACTCGTGAAAAAGTAAATATACTTATCAAATATAACTAGGACAGTAATAAAAACCATATTTCACATACATTTGACTGAGGGACCAAAAGGGCATATACCCGGACACATCCTTTACAAAAATAATTACTCTAAAACATCAAGGAGGATTGGCTCTCAGGGATGCCACTCGATATTGTTTCCCATATATGGGTATCACATAGTCACATCGTGAATACAAGGAGGATTGGAAGCCAGGGTTCCAACTCGATATTCTTTAATCTCCACGCATGCGTCATTTGCTATTCTTGTCTGTATAATTTGTACGACTGCATGGAGAATGACCCGATACTCTCCAACAAAGCTATCGCTAGGTGATTGTTTTGCAGAATATCGGTGTTGCATTCTGGGAGCCAATCCTCCTTGTCGTGAATACAAAGAATATTGACCATTCTCCTTGCAGCTGTAGAAATATACAGGCAGGAATGGCAATATCGCATCACGTTGGAGATTAAAGACTGGAGAGGTTAAGCTACCGTATAAAATCCAAAACGCAACTTAAACGTATCAATCGTCCCTATACAAATACATGTAGAGTTCACACATAAATAGCCGTTCAGCTCTAGTGTTTGTTTAGACTACACCATAGCTTGTAATGATTACATAGTATCCCATTGATGAAGTTCAATAGCTGGTTTTCTAATACATATTTTAAACGAGCTCGTTTCGTAAGATTATTGGAGTTAAATCATGCGTAACATACATCATCTTCTTCAGAAAGAATTATACTTTGCATCGAAATCAAATTTCCAAGGATAGTATTCAACAGACATGAGTATAATGATTCCCGTTGATAGCAACGTGAAAATTTAAAATCTCCCGTTCTAAACACGCAACTTTGAAGTTGAACGGGTATCTGAAGTAGACTAAAGGGATACAATCCTATGTTGATTCAATGTACTTTGTGTTTACGTATACGTTTTGAAAAACCGTATTTGCTTAACCTCTCCACTATTGAGTTGGAACCCTGGCTTCCAATCCTTCTTGGTAAACATGTAATCTGAATGCAACCTTGATTAGCCAAAGGTGTTCCAATTGACAGGTTTATACATTTCAAGATTTTTATGTCACTGCCACAAGTGGTGACATATTGTTATAGTCTCTGACTTTTTTGTGGATGATGTTCAGCATTTGGCAGTTGGGTTTTGGCGGTTGGTATTTGGCATTTGATGTCTGTAACAAATGGAAGGTGGTGAAATTTTGCATTTTAATGCCATGTTAACATTATATGGCTTATTAACAAAATGAGACCAAAAAGATTGCACATTGAGAGGTGTTCGATAAGAGAGGTGTTTGGATTTACAGGTTGACTGTACTACTGACTGTGAAATTCACTTGACAGATTACTTGTTTTAAATTCAGTTGAATTGAACTGAAGCATTCTCTGTAAAGATCAATCTATTCTTACCTCTGCAGATGGAAAACATGATTGTACTATTCCTAATATGAAGGCTATAATGTCTTTATATTCCTTGAATAGATGGCAGGCAGGTTTCAATCTACCTCTTTTGTATCACTAACGTTCCAAACAATTTAGAATACACTTTGGAGCTCAAACTAAAACAAGTTTTTCACATATTGTTTCTTGCTCCTATACCATTTAATGTCACAACCACAAGTGATGACATATTGTTATAGTCTCAAACTTTTTTGTGGGTCAGGCTTTTTGCAGTTGGTGTTTGGGGGTTGGTGTTCGCGGTTGCTATCATTTTAAAAAAAATATTCAGAGTAAAAAGGAGAAACTTTGTTTCTCAAAAAGTCATCTTAACTCATCAAATTTAAAACTACATTTACTTAGCAATGGCCTAAATGTTACTCTACAGCATATGTTTTTTATTTCACCTTAACTTTGACAAGGTACTATACTAGGGTTGATGCAGCTATGTCTATGAGATATATCAATGGTACACGCCTGGATGACAGAATCATACGTTCTGACTGGGATGTTGGTTTCAAAGAGGGAAGACAATACGGAAGAGGAAAAAGTGGAGGCCAGGTACATCTTGCATCAAGTTTATGATCACCTACCTTTTCCAATCATTTTTTTATTT